AAGTTACATAAGATGAATTTTTATCTTACTCATTTCAAGATAAAGGGAAACAGTGAGGCTGGTAAGGGAATGCTTGTTTATAGCTGCTATATTGAATTATTATTTAACTGATAACAGGAACCTACTTGTTCTGAAAATTGATGTACAAACTGAAAATCGATTTACAACTGAAAATCGATGTACAAAATGTACATCACTCTTTATTAAAAAATTTTTTTTATATACTTGCAGTAATATACAAGGAATAAAACTCTTGAGGACATACTGTTGTAAGCAGCGAATGCTTCAGATCACAAAACACCACCCTGCTATTTATTATTTTCCGTAACAGCACAACCTGTCGTGTTTTATTCCTTACTTTTGCTACCTCCATACTAAAGTCTTATCCTGTCTTTTTCATAATTTATGAATGAACTTTTCAGACCATTTTATTGGACCTTGTAGTGTGTTTCTGATATTGTCTGCATTCTGGATACTAAAATGCACAATTAAAAATTCCATTCAATTTGCATTGGAACATGCTAAAGTAATTACATGCTCAACAAGACTCTACTGTTGTCCACAAACAGACATGTTTTGTTTTTGTTTTGTTTTTTAATCCAAGAAGCCATTGCCTATACCTACAAATATTCTATTATTTCTATTCCGGAGTTTCTTGCTTTCACTTGGAGTATTTAACTGGACCTGACAGACCTGTACCTTTCCTCCCTTCTATTTTTATCTGTCTCTCTGCAGACAATGTGCGCATCACTGTAGATTTGCTGTCCGTTACTATGGTTTCCAATGTTTTCCACCATGTGCTCCTCGTTCTCCACTCTTCACTGTGTTACAACTGTAATCTCTCAGATCCAAACATTAGCCAGGATTTAATTACATAGAGCAGGGCAATTGGAAGGTTGTGTCCCAAATTACTGTGTAATGCAGTCTCACTGAAGTGAGCCTAGCCTATAAAATAAGGCTCTTAATCGCATTTTATGGCCACACTTTCCTGTTGCTGGCGTGCCGTGACTACTGCAGACACATTTAAGCCCGGTCCACTGTCTGGTCTGTTGAAAATCAATGGACTGTCTAACAAATGGACAGCCCCCTGTGGAACTTTTTTAGTATACGAGAAAGCAGCTCATATTTTATAGCTTTTGGATATGACTGGGCCTGTGGAGTTTGAGGTCTAGATGAAGTCCTTGTGAAGCCCCTCTCCAGAGTCAAGCACAGTTCATCTACTCAAAATGTCACTGTCATGAAAGCAGGTGGCAGACAGCCCAGAACAGGACCTGTAGAGATCTATCCAGCTTATCTTCAAAACCAAACATTGATGTATTGTTGTTTCAGGCAACAGAGCCAGAATAAATCCTGCTTTATCAGCATCTGCCCTGGCCAACCTAATGAATTTCCTAACTGAGTTAGCAAACTTGTTATGAGGTGTGACTGAAATGACTTCCAAGGTCAACGAGATCCACGGGGACTTGTCAGAATGATCTTCATGGTGCGATCATCGATTTTCCCTGTCCTGAGCCTGAAAAATGTCCCTTGTATGGATCTCTCTGGTGCACTCAGTGCATCTCTACTCACTATCAAGGGAGAAACATGATTTTAGCCCTAATATGGCTTGCTGTTGTTTACTGTGCTCATCTGTCCAGTTGAAAATCATTGTCTGGCAAGCAAGCCAGCTGGGACTGCCTGATGACATTTACAGTTGCAGTGGGTGGACACAGTTGCCCCCCAACACTCTACAAACCTCCAATGAGACCTCATCATGTCCAACTCTCAGGATTAATCATTCATCAGTAGACAGCTGAGCCACAGTGCCTGCACTTCTGTGTCTTCCAGCTTGGAGTAAATCTTTTGATTTGGTCATATGTTTATCATTCTCTTATTTTTCAGATGTTCGATCCATTTGAATTGTATGGTTTATCTCTTGACTCAGTTTTCAAAATAAGATTTGGAGAGTTAAGTCAGAGCACCTGTGACATTAAAGAGATCAGATATTAAGGGTGATGAGTTTAAGAGGTTGCATGAAATGAAAAAAATGCAGAAATGCTCGGAAATAATCAGACTTGGAAATAGTTTGAAATGAAGCCATATAAAAAAAAAAATTCAATACCTGCTAGAGCACATGGAACTCTTCATGTCAAGGAGAGTTTTGCAAAGTGAAATAAGAACCATCGGCAAACTTAAAATATCCCAAACGATTAATGTCAAATAAGAGAGAAATGCTAACATAAGCTAAACACATTCAATACATACTTAATTCCTAATCTAAACACATGTCACCCAAACTCAGGTTTTCACTGACAGGCGTGCTGCAATTCCAGGTCTAAAACTGGTATGCTAGCCTTCACCTCGAATGCTATTAAATCAGCTCTGTCATGAACCTCTGTCTCAGTCAGATGTCTCTGGGAATGAATTATATCACTACTATCACTTCTATCACTATCACTTCCTGGCATCTCCAGAGTGATGGTCAAAGGATGCTGTGTCCTCAAATGGCACCCAGAGAGCATAACTGGAAATGTACACCAAGTTCTCCGAGTTCTCTGTGCTGAGTTTCTCAGTGCAATAACTCAAGTTGATGTAATCTGGACACAGGATGAGTTTCATGCACTGCTACAGAAAGTTCTTCTGTTTCTGAACATTTCAAGTCTGTGGAAAATAGGCCAACTCACTGGCTGAAATTTGTAATGACTTCAGATTTCCTTACAATTTATACAAAGAAAATAAGGTTATGAGTGAAGTTCATACCTTACCACAGGTTTTTTAGAGTATGGGACATGTTATGTGAGGTTCTAGACATCATCTTCATGCTTGGTACTTGGTTTCTCACTTACCATGAAGTTGTTTCAGATTTGCTGAAACAGTTTTCCTGGCTCCTCTTATCTGGTTACCCAGACTCCCTTCTGCTCTGATATCATAATTCCAATTGTTATCTAGTCTTCATTTGCATGCATCCTGTCAGGTAAAATATTTACTTACTGTTATTTTGGCCTATACCACAGCACTGTTAAATACTCTATTCATTTTCTATAACAGCAGCTATGGTAATAGTTCTAGTTGTGAGGTTTATATTAATGTGCTTGTTTTCATATGTTTTTGTTTCTATAGTAACAACGTACACAGGGACTTGTATATAAACATATTTTTTAAAAGTGTGTACTTCTTGATATGGTGAAATTCTCTGTTAGGAGATATTTAATTCTAATTTTAAGAAGGCTTCTCCAGTGTCAGTGATTTGTAATAGTCAGAGGTAAAGCTGTAACTTTTTTCTGATTTCTGAGATGGGAAAATCTTCAGGACCGAAAGCTTTGCACTTTGCAATTTCTCAGTAAAATATCCACAGAATGTTGTTATTAAGACAAGAAAACATATTCAAGACCTGCCTGATTCTGCTTCATATATTAATTTGTATGTGCTGCTGATTGTGCAAGTAATCAGTTCAAAAGGTTAGAGCTGTATAGAGTTATTACATTTGAGATATCCTAGACATATTGATATAACTGTATACCTGACTCAGCAATAAAAAAAAATGTTACAAAGGAAACCTGATATTTAAATGTGAATAAAATTTTATGGGGGCTGAATATGTTTCTGTATAATTCACTGTTCAAAACCAGCATGATCTCTAAAAGCCTTTTACAATCATTTCTGAGAAAAGAGTTAGAGATAGATGCAATTACTTCGTATGGCCTGTAAAATGAACCAGTCTGTAATGGATCAAGGCATCCAGGCAATTAATCTACCCTTCATGGTTGCTCTTTCTTTGGGCATTTTTTCTTCACTAAGGCTCGATTTCCACGTTACCTCCGCTTACTCTATCACTTTTCTTCCAGAAACAGCCAACCATTTCCACTTACTGTGATAACATTAAAATGTATTCATTCAGCAGATTTTTCTAAAGCAACTCACTACTGAACGAATATTTAGCTCATGGAAATACAGTGTTCACACCTGCTCTGATTCAGAAGGAAAAACATGTATTAGGTAATGCATTAGTGAACATGACTGGCAAATTAGGATGTGCCTCATTACTTTACAGCCTACATGCTGTCCTTCATGTGGACACATCATATTAATAGAGGAGTTTATTTATGCAATGTCACTTTCTACTCATAAATGTACTCAAGACATGTTTGGCGCTTCCTTTGTTGAGCTACAAGGTAGTGATGTGTCATTCATGAAAGAGTACTTTTTTTTATTAGGTAACTTTTTTGTTGTTGTAGACGTGTACTCATGTAGTTTAATTTAATCAAAATGCTTCAACCTCTTTTCAACACCTTAACTGTGTGTATGGTGGTAGTGTGTGTTTAACTCTCATCTGCGTACATGAATCAATATGACCAGGATGATTCTCTGCACTGCTGCTCATTTTACTATTCATTTAAATAGATTATATAAAAGGAAATGCCAAGTAATGTTATTTGGATAATTGGAAGGCAGAATGCAAATTCATGATATAGTTTCAGGCATAATTAAGCAATGAACAATCATCATGTTTACAGCAATGTGCTGCATGGAAGCCGAAAGAGTCGACTCTTATCAATTCATTGAGCCAAATGATTCACTAACTCACAGTGACTCACTGAAAAAAACTGTTATAGATAATAAGTAACAAGCTTACATCTGCAAGATTAGCAAGTGCAAACTATAACACACTTACCTGGAGTGAGGGAAAATCATTTACATTTGAGTTTTTTCAATATTATCACCTTATTGTGACTGGTGATTCAGTGTAGTGTGAATGAGGTAACGTTGTGTTTCTTCACACACTCACTCATCTTCATCAACTTTATCCTTTCTCAGGGTCACGGGGAAACCTGGAGCCTATCCCAGGAAGCGTCGGGCACAAGATCCATCGCAGGGCACAATCACATACACATTCACACACTACGGACACTTTAGACACGCCAATCAGCCTACCATGCATGTCTTTGGACTGGGGGAGGAAACCGGAGTACCCAGAGGAAACCCCCGCAGCACAGGGAGAACATGCAAACTCCGCACACACATGGTCACGGTGGGAATTGAACCCCGCCCCTGGCAGTGTGAGGCGACCGTGCTAACCACTAAACTGCCTTGCGACCCATTGTGTTTCTTAGTGTCCTGAAATATCTCGTTCTGTGCAGTGTAGTGGTCATGGCATTTGTGCCATATTTTCATACACTCACTGCTGCAGAGGTGCTTGAGTGTGCTGGAGGTGATGACTAACAAATTCGAGTATGCCGATGTGCTGAAGAGGCTGTGATTTAACTCTCTACCCCAGAATTACAACAGTGATGCAACCAAAGTGGAGAAAAAACGAGTTCCAAAAATAGTAAGCCTCGTGTATTTTCTCTCATGGCGTTAAATCGGCCAAGCTCAAATACTCCTGTGATGTCTCAGTAAGTTAAAGCACAATTACTGTCTTTCATCCATGATTTCAAGCCCTTTTGACCCTGAAATTGTGCTCCTGTTGGATGTTTTGAAGTCATGTGGAGCTTCACCTTAGGGGGTTGGTGTGAGTGTGTGTGTGTTATTGATGCTGCTCTGATGGGGGTTCAGCAGGCGTGCTGGCTGCACTTTGGACGTAATGAACCTCATACATGTTATTACAGCACATGTGATCTGTATGGCCTGCGTGGGGCATGAAGGGGTTTCCTGGGGGAAATTTGTGAGGACTTCTGGGAAACTTGATGCATTATTTCTCTTAGTGGGAAAACTCGACATTGAAGGACTTAAATATTGATCTTAACAGTTAACATGTGATCTTCAGTGGCATCCATGATACAATTTGTAATGAAATTCTCAGGTGACTTTTTTGGGTTAAACTTGTTTCATTGACATTTGTCTATTTTCACTTTGGCTAACTGCTTCAGTACCTGCTCGTAGTGGTGCCATTGGTAATTAGTGCTTGATTCATATTTACCTAAAGAGAGCGATACAGCAGTACTTTAGTCTGTGCAGCTCTCATACCTCCTCATCTGTACACTCTGCTCAAACAGATCAGCTTCCAAAGCTTCAGTTTTCATGCCAATAACACTGTCAACACCATTATGATAGTTAGGTTGTAGATTGCTAACTATCCAAGCCATGTGTCTGCCATAACTCAGTGCAACTGTATTGCCAACGGTTTATGACTACACTGGATTTCCCATTAATATAATTTTTCTTATCTTTGGAACATTGTGGTGAAAATGTTGACTTCCTCTTTTGTTTTTAGTAGCTAACAGTGAAATATAAGATAGGTAGACAAGATCATACAAAGCCAACTCTGAAGTAATTTGTAATAGATTTGTAAAAGACTGTGGCTTATTTCGGTTGATATTGGGTGGGTCTGAGTTGTGACTCCCCCTGGTGGTAAGATTTGCTCAGTGAGGCTTGGTCAATGTAACACAGTATTGAGTTAGTTATATTTTAGTTGTCATATGAAAAGAGTTTTTCAGTTTTAAAAGTAGCTGTCACAGTTTAGTTTTGTGGAATATATATATATATATATATATATATATATATATATATATATATATATATATATATATATATATATATATGTGTGTGTGTGTGTGTGTGTGTGTGTGTGTGAGACACCATCATGCTGGAAAGTATGAATTGTGTGTGCATTGTCCATTATATCATAAATGTTACTGGATTGTAGAAATTCAAAGGAGAAAAACCTTATGCAGAGTATTAACATAAATTCGATCTTGCTAATTTTATTTATACCCTAGATATGTTGCATTCATGCATCTGATTGGTCAGAAGATGTTTTATGCTGTAACAGCAGCTCTGAAAACAGCACTGATTTGTTGCAATATGTTATTATTTTTATAGAAGCAGCTATTTCACAGGAACACAGAAAGCATATATAATCTACATAATCTAAGGCAAATACAAAATGTATTAAAATGTGCTGCTATTTATGCTGGAAAATATGCATTGGGTATGCAAAAGGTATCATCACTGATATGGTAAGTTTTCTAGTATCTGTATGTTTTAAGCTATGGGAAAGCGTTTTGGACAGAGGATTTTTGAGTTTTTCTGTAACATAACAAGTTACATTTTTTCTTATTAACAACAAGGTAGGATGGTGAGGGAACAGCTACAGCTACCTTAACAAGTGAATGGAGTCACTTTCACAAGAGTGCAGTTTGTTGTTTATACGCAATTCCCCTGCTATACACTGAAGACATTTGTTTTTGAGATCAAAAGATGAACACGAGACTATAGTTCGGAATGTCTGTTTTCATTTCCTGGTATTTATATGTAAATGTGTTAAACAACTTAGTACATAGGCCATTTTGTTTGAACCCACCCATTTTCGAGTGATCCAAAATATTGGAACATGTGACTGAGAGGTATTTCTTGTTACCCAGGTGAACCATGTTAGACTGATTGTTTAAACAACTCATAGCTCTGAATGTCTACTCTTGGCTTGAGCCCTGGGTTTCACCTGTGAAGATTACATTTGTTGTTAAAAAACATAAACCAACATGAAACCCAGAAAGTTGTCTATGGGAGAAATCCAAGCCATTTTGAAGCAGAGAAAAAATGATCAGAGCCATTACACAAGTATTATGCATAACCAATAGAAAGATTTGAAATGTTCTGAAAAAGAAAGAAACCAGTGGTGTACTAACAATCAGACACTGAACAGGTCAGCCAAGGAAAACAGCAGCAGTTGATGAGAGAAAAAATGTGAGAGCTATGAAAAAAAATAAAAATTCAATAGTCAAGCACAGTGGAGGTAGTGTTCTTGCTTGGGGTTGCATGGCTGCTTCTGGAACGGGATCACTAAACTTTATTGATGATGTAACTCATGATGGTTGCAGCAGAATTAATTCATAAGTCTTCAAAAACATTCTGTCAGTCAATTTACAGAGAAATGTATCCAATCTAATTGGGGAGAACGTTGTTCTCCAAGACAATGACCAAATCACACTGGCATCTCAACAGAGGACTTCATCAGGGGATAAAATTTTTTTAGACTGGCTAAGTCTATCACCAGACCTTAACCCAGTTCAGCATGCATTTCACTTCCTGAAGAGGAGACTGAAGAGAGAAACCCCCAAAACAAAGACTGAAGGAAGTTGAGGTACAAGCGTAAACAAAGCATCGCAAAAGAAGAATGCAATAGTTTGGTGATGTCAGTGGGTCACCAGCTTGATGCAGTTATTGAAAGCAAGGGATATGCAACCAATTTTTCTCACCTAAAATTTGGGTGGTCTGCCACCAAAGGTGCCATGTTTTAAGTTGTTTAACACATCTAGATGTAAATATCAGGACATGAAAGTAGAATGTCTGTTCCATTGTCTCATTCATCTTTTGATCTCAAACCCAAATGTCTTCAAAAATAAATTAATTGGAATTGCTGTTCCAATACTTTCAGAGGGGACTGTACATACTGCATTTTAAGTGATCATTTTATGGAAGTCTATGTAGGTGGATATATAAGCATTACATATTTTCTTTTCTCATTTTTCATATACATGTTTTAAATTGAAGTGCACAAGTGTTAAGCAAGTGAAAAGCAAGTGTTAAAAATCTGAAGGCCAAATATCATAAAAGTATAACTACCCAGGTAAATATGCAAAAAAACAACAAAACTGCACTGTGGTGAATTTTACAAATATTATTTAATTACAGTAAGTCAGGAAGCAACCACCTGATAGACTGCAAATGCCCACGAGGCTCAAAGGTCCTTATGCAGTGTCTAGCATGATGATCAAAGCATCTAACTGATTCAAATAAATGCTAGCTGACCTTTAGCATTTCAGTGACCACAACCTACAGTAAATATAATAGTGTGCTTTATAGCAGGGATGCCAATGATACTATATAGGACTGAATTTTATATTATGGATTTGTTTTTACTTTTTTTATTTTGTTTTAAAAATTCATGTTGAAGTTGAGTGTTCAAATTAAACTCTCTTGAATACTCTGATGTCAAGAAATCTGGGATGCCTACTTCTTGGAAATACTCTAGTCATTACAAAATATTAATTAATAAACAGAGATACTGAATATGAATTAATTATGTTATTTCTTTCGTTTATAAAGGAAAATCTGAGATATTATCATTGTGCTTGTTCACAGTGGAAAAAGACAGAGTTAATTGGCTCTAATTATTGCCGGGTCCATTTGAGACTGCAGATTCATACAGTCAGGTTGTAAACAAAACACTCAATCAGTAATATGAGAGAGAGAGAGAGAGAGAGAGAGAGAGAAAAAGAGAGAGAGAGAGAAAGAGAGAGAGAGAGAGAGCACACAATATGAATGACATGATAAATAAAAAATATCAACAGCAGCTCAACATTCCCCTTTATATGTCATCTTTGCTTGGTTCTTATCGCTACTGACCGTGGCTAAATTTAAAACAAGCAACGCACTGAACCTGTTGTCTTGGAAACTGCAAAACTGTAACTCAGAGTACTAAATAAAGAGGCCAAAAAGACTCTCTGCAGTGTTACACAGTTGGAGGACAGAAACTGACAAATGAAGTTATATTGCTTTACTTAAAAATTGAGAACTGATGAACTTGGATCAGTTGACACTCATGAGTATATGAGATCTAGATTGGATTGTGAGCATTACTGTGTCCTTCCAGCAAGGGTCTTTAATGGAATAAACATCTCTCTCTCTCTCTCTCTCTCTCTCTCTCTCTCTCTCTCTCTCTCTCTCTTTCTCTCTCTCTCTCTCTATCTTTACTGTCAAAGAAAGTGATTTGTATATTGTATCTGACCTGTATGGTTATAGTTTAATGTCAGGATCTCTGGCTAAGCTAATTCTGGCTGTTATTGGAAGCACTTCAGTCACGACAGCATGTTGTGTGATACACATATTACATATAATTGTCTTTCAATTTGATAACTCAAAAAACTTCTATTAACAGTAATCTCTCTCTCTCTCTCTCTCTCTCTCTCTCTCTCTCTCTCTCTCTCTCTCTCTCTCTCGCTCGCTCGCTCCAGTAAATCAGAGATGGCTGCCATTGAAACAGAGCTCCTTACAGACTATCGTTTTGGACAGCAGCAGCTGATTGAGATTTGGGGTCATGCCTGTGCTGTCACCATCACCAAGGTATTAACATTGTAGAAAAAGACATATGCACACA